GTTGCCCAGAGAGGTGGTGGAGGCCCCATCCCTGGGAACATTCCAGGCCAGGTTGGACGGGGCTGTGAGCAACCTGATCTGGTTAGCAGTGTCCCTGCTCCTGCAGGGGGGTTGGGCTGGGTGACCTCTAGGGGTCCCTTCCAGCCCAAAACATTCTATGATTCTAAGGTGCTACAAACATTTCTAAAGCCAACCCAAGACCTCCCCCTACTCCTCATCTCACCTGGCTTCCCAGGAGAGAGGCTAAAGTGCCCCCACGCGACAGCAACTCCACACCCGGCAGACCTGGGTGGCAGGGCAGGCGTATCAAGGACCTGAAGTTCCTACAAAATTCATAAAAAGAGCCTGGGTAAAGGAGCCAAGTGCTCCAGCTATGCAAAAGGCTTCTGCGTGACCTGCGGCACCAGCAGCCACCAGATAAAGCCCAAGGGCACCATCCCAGCGTGGGCAGGATGGGCCAGGGCTCGTTGCCACCCCAGGAGGGAAGCAGGTGTCTTTAATGCAGCTAATGCAGCAATCTGGAGTTTCTTTGTTGTCTGTCACCATGGAAGTTAAATGTTTTAATTTTATGTTGAAACACCAGCAGAAATTCATATTGAGAGGAAGTCAAAGGCTCTTCCTTGATACCCATTTAAACAAGGTAGAGGATTTTCAGGTTCCATAATCAAGTCCAACAAAGCCGATCTCCAGGTGAAAATAAATATTTAAAAGACTAAACAAATTAACTGTTCAACACCATTTGGTATAAATAATGTCTGTGCTATGGAGAGGAAAGGACAGTTCAAAAATTCTACAAAGTCTTTAAATTAATGGTTGCAAAATTCCCATATGCAGTTTGTCATGTTCCTGTAAACTTGGCATTACCCATTTCGATTCAAGCCCAGTTTCGAATTGTGGCATACAATATGCTGAATTTTAGTCAGAAGATATCCATCAACCCAGATTCTAAGTAATAACAACAATTCCCATCAGAATTAAGCCATGTGGAAAAATCTCTTGGTTTATAGGGTAGGGATTTAGAACAACAAAAAACTGACAACAGTTCATAACAAGGACTTTGGTGGTCACTGTGCAGCTCTCCTATCCTATGGCTAGGATAAAGTCTCAATCTCTATCCAGTGTTCAAGCCGAGGTCTTTAACATAAAAATGCCATGCAGGGCAACTACCTAAAAATAATTTTCTTCAATAGGATGACTAAAGAAATATCTTAAATTAGCAAGTTCCAGTGACTTCACCAGATCAGCCACTTCTGCCAGCAGATCCAACTCCACTGAAGTCAATGTCCGTGCACAAAATGAAGCCGGAGGAGAGGTAAGAGCCTCTGGCTTGTTTCCAAAAGTAAAAGTAAGCAAAGGCTGAGGTATGTGACTAATTCTCCATTAGTATTCCAGTCACGTTTCCTCCGAAGACAGGAAAGTATTTCAAGTGAGAAATCTTGCTCATCAAGCGGTTGAAAACATTTTTTCCTCAGAGTTTCCTACCCCTCGCTTCTCTGAAGTGACTTTTGGACTCCATCAGGCAGGCCTGGCGGCTGCCCACAACCATCGCACCTGCAAATATCAGCTCACACCTCACAGGTAACCCATGTCCTGCAGCCTCCCTCCACCCATTCCCTGGGAAAAGGGAAACCCCACTCATTGTGGATGAAGATGGGGGTCACAGCAACGAGTTCGTTTCACCTTGCGGGAAAAGCACCTTCCTACATGCCCTTATTTCTCAAGCGAGTTGGGTATCTCCGCATAGGAGTCGATGGGTGACGATGCACCTACAAGAGAAACTACACTGAGTTGCAACACTGTTTGTAGTTAAATATATATGTTTTTTTAAAACAGGTCTCAGACTGTTTAGAGATAATCTGAAGGGAGTAATATTACAAAAAGATTTTCTTGCAGCATTATCTTGGAAAGTCACAGTGGTAAAAATTCATCTAAGCAAGGCTAGCTGGGGTATTTCACATACTGTCACTGGAGTGCGAGCTGAAACACGTCACGTAATTAAACTGGTAATAGCCTCTCTGCTTTTCATTTTGAAGCCTCAATCTAACTGCCACTCAAAAATACCTCAGGTATCAACTGAATACATACAAGAGATACTACCACTAAACTTCAGGCCTCCTTTCTGATTTAACTACAAAAAAAAAAATCCATTTGAAAATATTTTTAATCTACAAACAAAACATAGTTTCTAGGAGAGTAAGTTTTACTGAAAAATACACAGGTATTAAAAAAGCAGGTCCAGAAACATTTAATCTCAAATCAATTACAGAAGCAAGACATGTGGATTTTAGAAAATTTGTTTAATTAATAATGCTCATTAACTGCATGGTTTTAATTCATAAATAGAGGACATTGTAAAAAAAAAATCTGAAATGTGTGGTGGTTCTTTTTAAATTTATTTGGTTTTAATGGCTGCCTCTTAATACACTAAAGATGTGGAAATCAGTGCAACTTGAACAGTTGCCAAAGGAAAACCTCTTAAGAGTGAAGTAATGCTCAGTGGAGCGTACACTCATCTCTACCTTGCAGCTTCTTCTTGTGAAAGGAACTGCAGAGATCTTTGGTAGTGTATTAAATCAACACCTCAAATAATTGATATAGACAAATAGTTAAAGATTAATACGCTTTGCATTCATATTCATGCTGCAACACAAAATCAATTTCTTTTCTGTCTTTTCTTTTTTTTTTTTTTTAAAGGTCACTTAGGAAGTCATGATGGCTTGCAGCTACAGACGATGGGGCCTCTTCCTTTGCGCTGAAGTCAACAGCGGTTCCAGTACTGACCTCTGTGGGTGCAGGCATGGGCCTGAAGTACTCACAGAAGTGTGAGGGAGGGATCCAGTTAGTCTAAGGCATTAGAAATGATTCATGACACTATCATGAATGTACAGAAAAATATCATAAGAAAGCACACTATATAAAAAATCCCATCCCCTCTTAAATAAGAGATGTAGAGTTTGCAGGGTTTCCTACTGGAAGATCTCTTGTTCTAGTCTGAACAGGGGCTCTTCTGAAATCACTACAATTAAAACACTCATTAACATCACCCCACAGAGGGTTAGTCCCAATATAAGTGTGTTTTCTTTAGTCACCCGTTTAGCGAAGGCTTTACTTTTACAGTATGTGTGCCGCTATCAGTGCAAGACCAGATTACATTGAGTATTAGAATAAATGCAGCGCAATTTCTTTCTCTCTTGGGACAAAATCAGTGAGTAAATCTTAACATGACAGGAATGTTTGAAAATGAAAATTGAAAACACATTTCACCAAGCCAGTATTCCTCTACATACAGCCCATCTAGAAAAAGCAGCATACTGTCTCTGCGCACGTTTGCATTTAACTCAGTATAGAAGAAACAAAAGCCTGCTATCTTAATGAAATAGGAACACATATAATCTCATTGAAAAAAAAAAAGAAAGGCCAAAATATCTTTTGAAAGAAACAAAGAAAAATTAAAAAAACCCAACCAAACCAAAAGTAATGAATTGCACATTTAGCAGTCAAGGCACCTGGTTTTCCTCATTTTCCCAGTTTGAAATGTTAGAAACTCGAAAGGGCCACTGCCTGTAGTGCTTCTGCAGGGCTTCCACCATCCTGCTCCTTGTCCAGACCCCCTCAAGCCACCAAATACCAACGAATGAGCTTGGCACAGACTGCTCTTAATGTTTTCCACGTCGGCCTTCAAATGCATGATGCTCTCTGTGTGCTAAGAAAGAGAGAAGGAAAAAAGAATAAAAGAACATGCAAAGTCTGTTAAGGAGTTGAAAAGATTAAAAAAAGAGAAGACGACAACATATAAAGCAGTGAAGGAAGACACAACATGCCAACGAGTGACCTTTGGGAATATACTGTTCTGATAGTACATTTATATAGAACCTAAAATAAGAGATCCCTTAAAACCCTGACTGTAAATGGTTCCTCTAAACGAATACTTAAATTGAACAGCATGCAGTCTCAAAAGTTACCAGAGGTTTGTCTCGTTAATTTTATGAATAAGGCACATTAAACATAAACCCAAATCTTTCTACAATTAAAGTAACAGTATCTCATATTTTGGGATGACAGCCAACTTCTACTTTGAAGGGACATAATTTTAATGCAATGAGAGATGCTACGTTTCTAAATGGTTAATGATGAATCAGGCAGGATATTCTCATGGAAATATCCGACCAGCATCTTGTTTCTCTAATGCAGGTGGAAATTAACAGTACAAAATACTTACATTTGTAAAAGACTGCTTTAAAAGATGTGTGTGGCAGAAGTTTATGTATCTTTTCTAAAACTTTTGCTTCACTTGCTAAAGAGGCATTCACGTTCCAGACTTGCACAACATCTTCACGGTCACGAACGCTGACGCTAACCCCTATTACTTCATCATCTGCACAGAAGAGGAAGCGTCATTAAGGAATATTTTAAAAGTGAGACATGTCTGATTTGATAGTTATGTATTATGAAACAGTGCCCAAAAGCTGAACAAATTGAAAAAATTAAGAGCAGCAATGTTCAAATCAGACAAAATAGTTACCAGAAAGAAACAAACACTGTATTTATAGAAGCTATCGGAAATATTACCACATAGTGGTTTTAACAAAGTGCCATAGGATTATTCATCTTTGCTATTAGCACTCTCATTCTTGATTAGAAGGGAATCACGAGGCTCCCTTCGGCAAGGTTAGCAATATAAACTACTAAAGACAATTTACCTACAGTAATGTCCATAAGCAAAAATGGTGGGGTGAGGGTAAAACAGCTAAAACCCCAGGAACAGTACCTGGAGATCGGACAACAGCTTTTTCAGACTTTGCTCTCTTTTTTCTTTACGTTTTGTCAAGGCAGCAAGGCGGGGGGTGAAGAAAAAATAAAGAATAAAGGCATGGCCAGGCTGCTGCTGCCAGTGTTGGTAACTCCGTGCTTCGCTGAAGCTGCCCTTTTTGGTGTGAAAATCTCAGGAGGCAGCTTTGTGGAGGCTCAGCCTCAGGCCACGCCACGGCGGGGAGCGGTGGCTGCCTCCAGCAGTGACCTCCACGGCGCAGCTGCACCGTGCAGCCTGCGGAAGGGGTCAGTAATGAGAACGCAAAGGTGGTGTCAAGGGCACGCAGCCAAGAGGAAAAACTACCTCTGTAGGCAGCAGAGTGTCACAGATTTGCTTCAACTGACCCCAAGACCACCCTATCAGTATAAAGGGCAGGAACACTCCCTTCTTGACACCAACTCAATTATGCACATTAGGGATTTTGAAAAGCAACTCTTAGAAAAGTCTCCCACAGCTCAAGGATTTGAGGCTTGTATTCTGTATCTTCCAATCCTGAAAGTTAGGAAGGCAATGAGAGAAATAAACTATTTGGGAAACTCATTCAACAAAACTTTTGTAGAAAAAACAAAGCCACCAAGGTGAATATACCAGCAGCAGCCTACTGCAGTACGCCTGCTCTGCCGCATTGGTGAGGTGTAAGAGAAACTGTTTGAAAGGTCTTTGCTCAACTGCTCTGTGAACCCAAGAAACGCAATTATTTTCTCTGGAATGACAGCAATGAAGGAACATTCCTAACAGGATATTCACCATCACTGCAACAGCCAGTTTAATCAGATATTCATGCTGAGAAGTAAATATGATCAAAAGAAGTGATGGAGAAGTGTCATTGGAACTGAAAAGCTAGTTTAGTAACCAGCTCCACGAATGCCTTCCCTCTAGGCCAATGGATCAGTAAGTTCATCGCTTGCTTCACCCAGAAGCAAGGAATAGTTCTGTAACCAAACTTTAAGAAATTAAACGGTCAGATTTGTACTTCCTTCTCGTGACTAAGCAGCAGCATTTGATGATCTATCTTAAGCCATCTAGCATTCACAGGCCCTTCCCGGAGTCCACTTCCAAATGAAACGTGCAACCTTGCAAGCTGAGACAAGATACTTATTCTGAAAGCAACTTCATTAAATTATTACCTCTGACCAAAATCACACGTGAGCTTCTGGATGATTAATGCCTCATTTCCAGTAAACCAGCAAAGTATTTTAAGAATATTTATGTAAATTCAATTACACTAAAGATTACCTTGACCTAAAGCAGTAATGAAAATATTGCTTCTGGGTAGAGTGCTAACCTAGGATTCAGGAGAGCCAGGTTTGTGCTACGGCCCTGCTATGGGCTTTTAGAGTCACTACAGGCAAACCACGCAGCTTCCCTCTGCTTCAGGTCCGCACTAGCGCTTCCCCTGACAACTCCTAACCAGAAGGGACCATGAGGGCTGATGGGGGCATCTATCTAATTTAGTTGCTTCCAACAGTGATTGTACAAACGACCTGTACGGAAGCGTCATTTGGGGTTCCAGAATCCTGCCATTGGAGAAGGGATATTAACCATTTAAATACTGGCTAACAGATAGATATTTCATAACTAGAAAACCCGCTGGCTTCCCGGGGATGCAAGCTGTTGAACTCGAGTCTTGTGCTAAAACAGTCAGAGCACCTTGTCCTCTTCTTAATGACAACAGGTATGAATATGATTTCCAGCCCTGTAGCCCATTTGTAGCAGTGTTTCCATGTTCCGTGTCCAAACTCAATTTGTCATGCTAGCCTCAGTCATTTTTAAGTTACCTGCTCCACAGCAATCTGCAAACTGCTCTCCAATAGTTGCTAACAGTAGCTCTTTCCAAACTGCAGCCTAAGGAAAGGAAAACAAACCAAAAAAGTTTCATTTGCATTATTATTTTTTAATGTAAAAGTGAGGTTTGCTAGCTCAGTTTTGAGTGCATTCTCTTCCTGAGGTTGTCCAGACACACACACACACAGAAAGACTATTTATTGCAAGTACACCTTGTGTTATATAATTAATTCCCTCAATCCAGCTGGAGCAAGAACTTAGATCCTACAAATACATAGTTACATCAAATTGTTCTAGGAAATACTTTAAATGTTTAACAATAAGTTTACCTTCACTATATCTGTGTCCACGACTCATCCTGAGTGCACTAGTTAACGTAAAGCCTGAAAGTAGATTTCTCCCAAGAATTTCCCGTGATAAAAGACCAAAAGGCTCCACTTCTGATCATTTATTTCTACAAAAAAGAATTACTAACCGCTTTAAGTACCTGAAAAGCCTACCAGTAAATTAAATTGATTTATATTTAAACATCCTCTCTGATTTGCCTTGACTATGAAGCAAGTCCATCTTTCAACAAATTGAAAAGCTCACTAGAGAATTAAAACAGGGGCAAAAGCTGAAAAGCTACCTGCCACTTCACTTTGGCTATTAGACTAATTGCATATTATTTGCTTTTGACACTCGTTACCACCCAAGCCAAAGCCCATCCAAAACTTCAAATGCATCTGGACCAACGTAATGCTCCAAGATGTGCGGTTACGGGGACAGATATTTTCTTTTCTTTTTTTTTTTTTTTTAAAGAACACATCGACATGCTTGTTTCTTTATATCAGCATAATGACTTTTTCACATGCTACTTCTAAGGAACGTCTTTTCTGCTATATGAAGTTAGCTTGAGTTTTAGCACTATTAAAAACAGCAAATCAAATGCACCAGGTTAGAACAAACAGCAAGCAGCCATGAAGATGACAAACTAATAAACTGATTTAATGGCGTTCCTGAGTACTCCTAAGCCATCTTCTAGAATACAAAGGATCTCTGCGGCTCATTATCATCAAATCCATGCATCATGTAAAGCCATGCTATGGCAGGTTGGACGGGGCTCTGAGCAACCTGATCTAGTTAGCAGTGTCCCTGCTCACTGCAGGGGGGTTGGACTAGATGACCTCTAGGGGTCCCTTCCAACCCAAAACATTCTATGATTCTATGGGAGGGACCATCTGATGTGATGGCTCCCGAGGCAGGCTGAGGATGTCAGCATGCCGCGGTGCCTCTTGCCTGCCAGCGGAAGAGCTCACGTATGGATGATGGGACTGACCACGCGCACTCGTTACCAGGCGCGGTGCTCACTAGGGTGAGTTGTCCTAATGGTCTCAAAGGTAGGAAGCACTTCATCCAGTAGTAAGCAGTTGCAGGACCAGGCTTACGAGGATCTAAAAAGCATTAGTTTTCGTATTAAAAACCGGCATACAGAAGCGTCACTGTTACACATGCAACAACATTTAAGTGTGAGTATTTTGTTGGTCAGTTTTTCGTACCGCTTGAAAGCCTAGTATCTTAGAAAAAACTACATGTCCCTCCCGGCACAGCCTCACTGAGCACTGCTACAGCATGTCATCTTTCTGAGTTAGGTCTGTAGACGATGGTTCATCTTAGCCAAGGAGATGCTGTGTGCACCTGTGAGGAGTTGAAGAATGAAGCCAGAAATGGGGAATAGGCATAAAGGTATTATTTATGCTATTTACAGAGGCATTAAAAGCTGACTGAAGTTCACCTTCAATTAAACCTTTCAGAAGTGACCTGGGACGTGTGGTACGGAGTTTGAGAGATCAAAGAGTACCTTCATTTCAAAAAGGGGCTGTTATTCAGCCTCTGAGGTCCCTAAATTCACCACCCAGTAACACAGGCTCCCCAAACCACTTGTCACTTCTGACAATCTTCACACCTTGGATTATAAGAGGAAAAAGAAAATTTCAGTCTTCTCTGATCCCTTGGGACTGCAGGGGAGGAAAGCTGCAATTCACATACAGGGGAAAAAAGCCCAGAGGCAAAAAATCAATTAACTTTTGGCTGAAATTTCAAGTACCATCTTTCAGCATTTAAGGCCTTCTGCAAAGCTATCACATTTTTCTGACATTTCACTTCTTGTGTTTAAAGGCCTGATCCAGAACACACTTACACGCATAAACACTATGTGTGCAGAGGCCAAATCTCCTTGCCCTGACAGTTCCCAGGAGAAGGTACTCACGTGCGTTTGATTAGGGGCGCAAAGAGAAACCCAATTATTTCAGGAGGGCTAGAACAACGCCATGCCTGACCAGACTTTATCTTTCACATTTTAAAATTTAAAAAAAAAGAAAAAATTTTAAAAAAAAAGCAGGGAAAACAACTGAGCAGCACTACAGTTTCACAAGATGCACACAAGGTGATCTGACAACTCACTGCTGCTGAAGGGGATGATCCTACTTGTCTTTTCTCCTTTACCCCCTACGCCCATCAAAAAACTCTACTGGCCACACACTTGAATTAAAAATAAAATAAATAGGAGGCTTTTTGTGAAATCAGAGTGCATTAAGCTGGCTCACAAAACAGTCCGATGAGCAGCACAGCCAGTGCAAGAGGGATCAGGAGAGAACGAGCAAGATCTTCCCCCTTCCAGTGGGAGCAAGCCTTGAGACGGGATTAGCCGTCGGCGGAAACAACGCCTTGGTCCGCATTTGGCTACAGGAAAGCAGCAGCACCACCCACAGCCACACATGGGTGCAAACAAGCAGTGCCAAGCAGAAATAGTCCTGAGTTTGACAAGGAGTTTAGGACCGTTTCAGTGAAACTCCGAAAGTTGTGCTGGACACTGCGTGTGGGATTTTGAAGAGCATTACTGAGGTTCTGGCTACAATTTAGCATCTAATATTACCATGAAAAGATTTTTATGGCTCTTTTGCATGCCTGTAAGCAAACAGTCTTGAGAACACAGGTGATTATAAAATACTGTGTTTCCAAATGGAAATAGAGTATAACACTGCAGCCTTCATTTGCTTGATAACACATCGACAAGTGTCATCAAAAGCAAGAGCGATGGAATTACCTGAAAAGAAACTTTTTTGCTCGTTGTCTTGAAATAAAAGGTTATAGATGTTAAAATAGCGTTTGGGGATGTCAGAACAAAAAAGCTTTACAACAGCTTTATTAGATGCAGTTTAAAGAAATCCCCTTACTGAACAATGTCTAAGTAAAAAGTCAAGATAACATACCGTACTTTCTTTAGGGACCTTCATTTTCCATATACCTCCTTTGGCATTGCTTTCTTCTTCCCTGGTTATGGGAAATAGATCAGTAAAATAAACATTCAAATCCACATCTAGATAAACCTATGTTTGGCATTTAATTTTCCGAGAAAAATCCCATTTGAAAGGCAATTACTACCTCCAGGTAGCATGACTCAAGCTATGACTTCTGACATCAGAGATAATTCTTTCAGAGTTCATATGAAGTGTATCTCTCAACACCTAGTCTCGTTCCTAAGTTTTGGGTGTTGGAAAATACTTACATTTGCCCTGACTAGAGACCGTCTTTGAAGCGGCTGCACACTATATGGGAATAAGCCACAGAGCAATTTTATGTTTTACTATGGTAACCTTTTATTTTGGAAAAACGCTGGTGTATTTTCACAGAAGCAGCTTATTACTCTCAAGTTTATCCAGTTTAACAAGAGAACATGAGAGCCCTTCACCTCAGTTTTGTGACAGCTAGAAATTAATCGCCCTCATTAAAAGAAAGGCTGAAGCTGCCCAGGGTCAGGGCAGACATAACCATTAAATTGCCTCATCACGACAAATGTACAAGTGAGCTTCAAGTTTATTCTGTCACAATTCTTTTTATAAGATTTTTTAATTTGGGCTCTAGTTTCCCACTAAAACTCTGTAACGGCAAAGTTTAAGGAATAAACTAAAATTCATCTCTGGAATACCTAAGCCCAGTATGAGACCTACAAAGATTCCCCAGGGTCAATGGACTTCCACCAATCCAGACAAACACTGGGGAAAGGAGGGGGGAAACTTTGGAAAGACATCTTCAAAAACCTGCAGTCCTCAATTCTTACTTCAGAACGCATTTTTCTTCCTAAAAAATAATGCTGCAATTAACCAGGATACTGGAACTGTAATCTGAGAAAAAGCTTCTTGTGAGTAATTACTGAAAAGTTAGTGGGTTACTGATGAGATCAACCTCATGCAATCCCTTTCCTAAAATACAGCATCTTCATTTACTTTGACAGTCTTAAAACCGATGTAGTATTTTCAGAAAAGATCTTTGCATTTCACACCTTTGATAGCCACTTGCCAAATCCCAACTAAAAACAGAAAAAACCAAACCCCAAGATGTTCTCACTCATCCTTACAAAGATATTGAGACCTGCATGCAATGGCCCAGTTGGTTTACACAGACACCAATATTTCTTTCAAATCCAATTTAGCCATCCTGACCAGTCACAGTATTTTTAGAACAATAATGTAGACATTCAGATGCATTTCTATTCACTTCTTCAGTAGATTAGGGCAGAGACCCCCTGTAGTAAATCACCACCCAGTTAGACACACTACAGTCAAGTTAAAGAACTCTAATTCAATCACAATCTATGCAAACGGTGCCAAAAAGATCAAACCTCTTCAGAAAGTGCTTAGGCTATGTAATTAAGATGTGACGGAACTGCACCAGGAGGAAAGTATGCAAAACTCAGCTTCTAAAAGGGAAACCTCAGTGATTTATACTTGATTCCATTACTACCCTACAATAAAGTAGGAATTTGCTGTAATGAATCACTTCATAAAGCCTTAAGCTAGTTTTAAGCCAAGGTACATTGCATTTATATGCTTTCGCACAGGTGAGGAACAGTTGAGGACCATCAGTTATTTGCATCATTATTACACTAAGCTTCAGTGGAAAAAAAAAAATTTGCAAGTTAAAAATAATTCAAATCGAAGTGATGTATTCTGTGTATTCTTGAATTGAAATTCTGAAGCATATTTTAACTTCTTAATTTCTATTTCATAATTTAATTTCTTACATTTATATTCAGAGGTGGACAATTAAATTACAGTCTGTTTTTAATATGACTTTTTAGTACAAGTCACTTAAGTTTAACAAGTTCCCTAGGATATTTCTTTCGTAGGTCTCCTAAGTTCAGGCATTCGCAGGCAAGAGAAATGAGACACTCCTGTTCCACGCCTGTCTCCTTTCACCACTTCAGGCTTTTTCACTGCCCATTCCCAGAAATGTCTAATGATAACATACGTACCAAAGTGGCCGTCTTTCTCCCCGCATTAAATGGTAACTACATCTCAGAGGCAAATTTGTCACAGGAGGAATGTTGTTGTAGACACTCCAGAAATCCTTAAAAAGAAAAAAAAAAAACCACCACTAGTTGCATTAACACAAAAGAGCAAGTTTCATGCAGATTTACTTCTTTGTTAATTTTCTCTAAAGCAGTTACATATCCTGCTCCTAGACAACTAGCACCTTCTATGTTATAATAAAATGCTCTGTAAAGAACTTGTACTTTCATTTCTACTTTTTTTTTTTCTTTTTTAGATGCCAATTCTGCATAACGTGGCAGTAGAAAGAAGGGAAGCAGTTGCACTGTGGATTACTTTAGAATCAAAGTCCTTAGGAAAAGAGAGGAAAAAATAATCAAAATCAGAGTTACACTAAATGTATCAGAACAAACCAATACATAAAACTTTCTTAGCATATTAAAAACATATACTTATATCAAATATCCACCTTGTTTCACTTCAGACCAGGGTACAACTTCATTATGATTATCCTGAGTTACAAAACCACGACAAACAATAATTCTGTTGAACTAAATGCCTAACTAGCAATCCAACTACTTTGCCTAGATCACAGTGTAAAGTTTCAACCAGACACAAAGAACTTGAGATGCACATATTAATACAGGAATGGGGGAAAAATTAGAAGATCTGGGTTACCAGGAACCATCAGATCACTTCCCAGCATTTCTGCTGGTAAAGCAGAAGCTGTCATGTGTGTTTGGGGTGGATAAAAGGCACCCAAAAGCAGCAGTGAGCAACAGGGAAGGGATGATTGAAAAGATCCCAATCTCCTTTCTTCTTTATCCAGCAACTGGGAATAAGAAAGGATTTTTCAAGACTTATGTTGCATCAGCATGCAGTGAAGCAATATTAAGCATTAGTACAACAACACAGTAAGTATTATCTAATACTTAATCATTAGCACAACTTTAGAAACCATTAGCACAACTTTAGAAACAAAGATTGCAACACTATGTGATAAAATTTTGTGGCCCTTGGCAATTCTGCCTTCCAGCCATTACCATTACCCTGTCAAAAGAAGAGATGGAAGACTATTAAAAATAGAAAAAATTGGTATGAAACACCCGTTTCAACTTCTGTCTTACCTGGTTGTGTGCCCAAACCCTAAAGCTAACGATAGAAGTAGGAGGAGCAGAGCTACGCCAGCAGATAGCTGTGGAAATATTTGAGAGCTCCTGAACCAGGGACTTAGTTTGGAAGGTTTTGGGTTTCAAACATCTTTCAGGTGGTGCAGACTGGCATTCCTCATAGACTAGCTACTGCCTACAAAGGACAAAGGATGAAATTAATTTCATCAAAAAAAAAGGACTTTGGTTTTGTTTGCCCAAGGAAGATATTATGTATATGATCGTGTAGTAAGACATGTTATGGGCCACACTGCTAGGTTCTGATAAACTCATCCAGATCATGGGTCTTCCCAGAGGACCTGAAGGAGTTTTTTGTATTTTAAACCCCAACCCAATGACCAGAAAACCTTAAGTTTTTCAGCCAATAAAACCTCATCATTTAACTAATGAAGGCTAGATTCAGAGTGGGAAAAGGGGTAATGCCAGATGCTGTGCACCCCAGTCCGTGGTCTTAAGCTGTCCTTTTTTCAACAGGAACCACAGCAGCCAGTTTTGAAACAAACCCACTTCCATTGCCAACTTTAACTTCAGAGTGTCACTTCATTGCGTGACCGATGGGGACATTCTGCTGGCACGGAGAGGCGAGAGGGAACCTCTCCCAGGGGTCTGCAGGACTCTTCCACCCTTATGCCAAAGTACTTCCACTGATAACCTCGTCCCCAGAGAACTCCAAAAGCCAATTTGTTTCTTGGGCCAATTAACTGGGAAGAAATGTCTCATGCAAGGTAACAAGTTGTACAGATGTTAAGGAGAAAGCCTTATTTAAACCTTCAGTAGATCACTACAGCTGGGCCCCTTCAAAGAGAAGGTTTTGGCATTGCCTGAGAACTTCAGAGATTTAGTGAACTAGAGGCAGCTTTGCATTAAGGTGAGAAACATAAGAATTCACTACTCTTCACACTAACTGTGGTATTAAAACAGAAATGCAATTTTATTTGCAAGAGATGCCCACTGCTCGACACTGGCAGACAATGCAGAGACATGCAGAATTTCTCATTGCTGTGAGTATTACATGATTTAGAAATACTTGAATTCAAGCCAGTTTGCTAGATTTCTTTTTCCTACATTTATGCTCAAGGAGAGAAAGAAGAAAAAAAAAACCACAAGCTGTAACTTTTAGTCTTTGTGTGATGATTTGCTGTATTAAAAAAAAAAATATGGAGAAAGGCAAGAAGAATATTCAAAATACACCCAGTATTTGTGTGATGATTTGCTGTATTAAAAAAAAAAAAAATATGGAGAAAGGCAGGAAGAATATTCAAAATACACCCAGTGTAACAATCCAATGGAGGCACAAGTGGTAACTCAGGAAGGTTTAAGAAGAGGGGGCTCGTCTGGTCAATCCAATATGCTTCCTCCTTTCCTGGTCTGGAATGCTAAATGAAATTCAATGAATGACAAAGTCATACCACATAGACCCAGTGACACTCACATTTCATACCACAGGTGAGCAAAGCCGCAACTGTGACTCGTCTGTATGAGGAAAAATGAAACTTAAGGTGTGAAATTCCATTAATAATGTGTGGCAACTCCTACAGCAAAGCTGCAAACCTTACCTGCACTGTTTGTACTGTATAAATCTTCTTCAAATTTGATGCACATTCAGCCGCTGTCGCCCCAGGAAGTGACCTTGAAAAAAAAGTAGATTAATACAAATACTTATTTTATCAAGGGGATAGGAGGGAGATGGATGGGGAAAGTGAATTATATGAGTGTGTGAAGTTGAAATATTCACATGTTAAAGTTGCATAATAAACTCCAATTCCAATTATCACAAATAATTTAAAGATAGGAATTAAAGTGCTTTTATACTCTTGAATAAATTAAGATATTTTGTAAAATATTTTGAATAAATAGGTGAAATAGGAGTTTTAAACCAAGGACGGCAGTGTTCCTTCTAATGGCCACCCCACACCCTTCTGCTGTCAGGCATTAAAAAAGTGCTGCAGTTCCAATGTGAGGGGCTAGCAGAGAAGGATTGCAAGCTCCTACCCCAGGCTTCTTTTTAATTGCATTTAATATAATCCAGAACCCACTCTGAGCATTTTAAGATCCTCTCAGCGTTTCATACTTTTAAAAAGAAAAGTCATGCACAGCATTTATGTGCTGAGTTATGATCATTCCCTTGCAGCCGCCAGCAGTCGGAGCGGAGCCCACGAGGTGGCAGAGGCACGCAGCCACCGGCGGGGGCTTCCCTCACCCCTGCAACAGCACCGTGCTCACAGGACCCGGTCACACCTGCGACTTGCTCCTCAGCATCCCCGGCCGATGGGACAGGCACATGGGCGATGGGAAGCCCCAGTCCCGGGGACAGTCCTGGTGCGGTGAGCCACATAACCCAACACATGCAGGAAACCTCCAAGACTTCAGGCAGCTCTTCCACCAAAAGCATTTATTTCTTCAAGCCTACTCCCATAAAGCCAAGAGTTTCCTTGGGTTGGTTTCATTGCCAGACCTCAGGGTTGCGCTGATGTCCACCAGACATGGTTCAGCTTCTCCAGCTAACCCTCATACTGCCTATTCCCGATTCCCATCTGGAGCTGCTCCCTTTAGGCATGCACAGCACCAACTGCACCCAATCATCTTAAAGGTCTTTTCCAACCTAAATGATTCTATTTATAATCTTTATCACGACTCTTTGGTGTCTGCGACATGGGATGGTGCATCCACAGCCCCAGACATCACCAGCTCCTGCCACCGCGCTAACAGCGCATCATAGCACCCATCTCACAGTCCCCAGCACACGCCCCCACAGGCACCATTTGAGGGGAACGAGGACAAAATTGCGCATTCAATTTGTTAGACCTGGAAACATTCCCCGCCCCCCCCAGAAGCTGGAGGAAGGATTTCTAAAGAAAAATGAAGATCAAAGACAAAGCAACCTCCCATTGCATCTCTGAAGAGGAAATAAAAATGTGCAAAGCGACTAAATCTGGAAACAGAAGCGACAGAGCAGATTTAAGAAAACAGAAGAAAAAAACAGTTGTTGCTCAGGTACCTGCTGAAGAAAGGATAAGGGCAAACCAGATCTCAGTAACACTCCCATCAACGGGGCTGTTTGCCCTGATACCTCTGATCAACATGAAATATGTCCAGGAAAACACTAAAGTAACTCTCGGTTGTTACAGATATAATTCAGGCTCTGGGGCAAAAACTAGATATTCAGGTAAAGGAAGACTTTTAATATGCAAAACTACAGAAACAGCATCACATCTTCCAAACTTCAAGAGCGGCACCAATGTTTTTTGAAGGCTCCTATCAAAGTAAGTTACTTTAAAACACATACAAAACCAGCAGAGAAATCCCTCCCAATTTTTTCAGTATAGAACAGACAAACCAACTCTACCATTTGCCTGTTAATCACCAGATATAAGAGTATGTTGCAATGCTGGAACTGATGAGAAAACAGTGTTACATGGCCAAATTTCAAAAAATCGCTTTAACTAGAGGTAATAGAAACAACCAAACCAACGCCCCCAGAAATCGCTGTAGTGCAGGTTCTAGTCCTGTGGCTCGTGAACTACAAAAACTCCCATGGGAAAACTGCTAACTTGAAAACAAACTTTCATCAACGTGCTCAAAAGGAACCATCATAGTAAGGTGGGGGGTTGGGTTTTTTTTTTTTATTGCACTCTACATTCAGCAGTAAAGAACAAAAAAGATAAGTTCTCAGTATTTAACAGAAACAGAATCAGTCAGATGGCTTTTGAATACACCAAAAAATAAAAGTGGTAAGTTAAAACAGATAGAAAACTTAGCAGGCGATTTTACTGTGTATGTCAGTAGGGAGTAGCGGATTTGTGACTAACTACCACTTGTTTTCAGCTTGTTGCTGCCAGAAGTAGCACCTCTTTGCTCAGCTTCATTTTATATATATTATAGAACACAAACAAGCAAAATCCGAGAAAACTTTGCCTGTTGGTGTCTCACCCACTGTCCAAGAAATTACATCTCTTCGGCACTGCTTCTGCCAGTTTGCTAACTTAGCAGCCACCAACGCATATGGGGTTAACTTGGTTGTACAACGTACAGTACCACGGGGACAATCTTTTTAGTAGGGCCAGCTGTGACAGGACAAGGGGTAATGGTTTTAAACTAAAACAGGGTAGGCTTAGGCTGGATCTAAGGAAGAAATTCTTTACAATGACGGTGGTGAAACACTGGCATGGGCTGCCCAGAGAGGTGGTGGAGGCCCCATCCCTGGAAACATCCAACACCAGGTTGGACGGGGCTGTGAGCAACCAACCTGATGTGGTTAAAGGTGTCCCTGCTCCCTGCAGGGGGGTTGGGCTGGGTGACCTCTAGGGGTCCCTTCCAACCCAAACCATTCTACGACGCTATGATCATCGTGCTCTATGCTCACACTGATACTGCCATGGAGATGCTACAATGGTGAGGTTTATTCAAATAAAAGATTGAAACCTATTCCCTAACGATAGCCTTCAAAGGTTATCTAGATAATCACGGCAGCCATTTAGCAAATTCAATGCCATTTAAAAGAGCAGCTAAGACAGTCAGACAGAATATTCTACTCCATGGTCATAAAATGGTTCGTTTTGATAGCTGCAAATAGCATTTTCCAGAGAAAATATGTGACCAGCTGGCAGAAAACACCAACTGACCAGCAAATTATCTGTTTTAAAAGTTAAAGTGAGCAACCATTTATTTCTAGTTACCTGCCTGGCACATGCTCCATGCCCATACACGGCATTATTTCAGCCTTTGGCCCAGCTCCAGGAAGTGTCACTGATTTATAGGTATGAGCATGAACCCCCAAAGAGCATGAACCCCCAAACCTTTTTATGAAAAAAATATATATATATATATTGAAGAGACTGCAAGTGAGAAAATGAGGATATGCATCAATTTAAAAGTTCATGATCATTTGCTGCAGAAATTACACCTGCACAAATTTGGTTTAATGGGCGTGTATGAGGCAGAGATAGTATTTTAATCACAGACAGAAAAATATCAGAATTCCCTGCAAAATTCCAGACTGCTGACAAATTTGAACCACAGTGATTCCATGACAGCCATCCATAAACTCAGCAGACTAGCACAAACAACAACCAAGTGGTTTTTGTGTCTTGAAACCCATGAAATTGTGACTTTAACTGAGTACACAGAATAAGTTTAGATTAAGTTAGCAGAAACAGCAAATGAGTTCCAAAAGAAGAAGAAACCTGTAGAAATTCCTATTTCTGTAACTCTTCCAACAGACACTTGCACTGTAAGCTAGGAGTAGTAAGGTGGTTGCGTACTTTGCCGAAAGACCTCAATACACACGCTACTACAAAACAGGAACCCTGCAACTACTGGCCCTTAAAGTGAAGCCATTCCAGGATTCCTCCCTTTTGGATACTTTTACTGCCATCAACAATAAAATGAATCCCATATGCCATAGTGAACTGTCAATTATTGCCATGGTGAAGAATCCATTCCCAAGGAACCCTGCAGGTCCTGCAAATCCCTACGAAGGGACAGGACCAGGACCTCCCAGCTGGGTCACAGCACCAGCCAGGCACCCGCAGCTCTTCTGGGGATGGAGACAGTAGGTCTGCCGCCACACCACCTACAAAACCATGTCTGGGTTCCCTGTGGAGAGCCTGCACATAAAATACTCAACAGTTCTCCCGGTCTGCCTGTGTTGTGCCTTGGTGATCATAGAATGTTTTGGGTTGGAAAGGACCTTTAGAGGCCATCTAGTCCAACCCCCCTGCAGTGAGGAGGGACACCGCTAACCAGATCAGGTTGCTCAGAGCCCCATCCAACCTGGCCTGGAATGCTTCCAGGGATAGGGCCTCCACTACCTCTCTGGGCAACCTGTTCCAGTATTTCACCACCCTCATTGTAAAGAATTTCTTCCGTATATCTAGTCTAAACCTACCCTGGTTTAGTTTAAAACCATTACCCCTTGTCCTGTCACTGCTGGCCCTACTAAAAAGATTGTCCCCATCTCTCCTATAGGCCCCCTTTAGGTACTGAAAGGCCGCAATCAGGTCTCCCCGCAGCCTTCTCTTCTCCAGGCTGAACAACCCCAACTCCCTCAGCCTGTCCTCATAGGAGAGGTGCTCCAGCCCTCGGATCATTTTTGTGGCCCTCCTCTGGACCTGCTCCAACACTTCCATGTCCTTGTGCTGACGTCTCCATAGCGGGATGCAGTACTCTAGGTGACGTCTCACCAGAGCAGAGCAGAGGGGCAGAATCACCTCCCTCAACCTGCTGGCCACGCTTCTCCCGATGCAGCCCAGAGTACGGTTGGCCTTCTGGGCTGCCAGCGCACATTGCCAGCTCATGTCCAGCTTTTCATCCACCAGCACGCCCAAGTCCCTCTCGGCAGGACTGCTCTCGATCCTTTCTTCCCCCAGCCTGTACTGATACTGGGGGTTACCCCAACCCAGGTGCAGGACCTTGCACTTGGCCTTGTTGAACCTCATGAGGTTCACACAGGCCCACCTCTCCAGCCTGTCCAGGTCTCTCTGGATGACATCCCGTCCTTCTGGTGTGTCAACTTTTCGGCAGCTTCAGAATGTTTACAGGAGAATTTTAGTGCGATACCAGGAATAACGAGTTGCCTAATCTGGCCAGACCCACCATACCACATCTCACAGGGGCATCAATTAAAAGGG